GGACACCCTCACGGTTGCATCGCGTATAGCGACTGACGACGCATGCTGGAAGTGCCAGCAGGGAAGTGGCACACTTTTACATTTGCTTTGGGGGTGCGTCAAAGTCCAAGATTATTGGATTCATATTCACACCGTAGTAGAGAAGGTCGTAGGTCAAGGGGTCCCATCTATGAACAGTCTTTACGTATTAGGAGACCCTTCAGCTTTGAGTCTCTTACCCACTCCTCTTGCTCATTGGGTACAAACGGCTATTATGCTGGAGAGGAAGCCGTTGGTGAAAGAGTGGAAGGCCTCATCGACTCCTACCTTCTCTCAGTGGTATACCTCTTTGGGACAAGTGGCAGCTTACGAAAGATTATAGACTGCTAAATAGACTGGACGACTGTAACGACAAATGGGCTAACTGCTTTTCATATACAGGTCAGTGACGTATCCGGCTAATGTAGTTAAGGTCGGACTAAATAGGATAGCTGTAATTGGGTCTATGTGAAATATTGTGTATTTATGTTATTTTGGATGGAAATATGCATCGATTCTCAATTTGTTTTGTTGTTGTGACTGGGAATGTCCACTCTGTTATCTTCTGCTTTGTTTTTCTTTGGTTTTTTTTTTGTTGTTTTAATATTAAAATCTAATAACGTTTGAGTCATAAAAAAAGACAGTCATTGTCCTCGGGGGACTATGACTAGGACCTGTAAATTATGTATGCATTGTATATTTTTGGTGTTTTGAGGTTTAATAATCAGAAGAATTTCATATTTCTCTGCTGCAAGTTTTCAGAGAGGAGCACACACTGACCGTGTCCATGTCTAATGTTGTGTTGTCTCACCCTTCAGTCCGCTCACATTATGACTCTACGCAACTGGAGAGAGGTGGGTGTGACAATTTAAGTACTGTAGCTGTAGTTGTCCACAAATCCATTAACAGCAACTATTTATATTAAACAATTCATTCACTGTTTAAGCCTGACCTTGACCTTTGCCCTTCCCTGTCTCTTCTTGTCCAGCGTATTGACTGTTTGATGAAGCAGGAACATTTTGTTGAAGCCCTCTCTTTGGCCTGGTCCTTTCACGAGGGAGCTGCTAAGGCTGTGGTTGGTGGGTATAATTCATTTCACTGATCTGTCATCGATATCACATACCGAGCGCTCTGATTACCACTAGGACCACTGTTACCTTCACCCTTCATATCTTCTCCACCTCTCCTCTGAGTCCTCGGTGTTTCTCGAGCTTCTCGTGTTCCTTCTTGTTGATGTTGCTGTCACTCGGTATCACTACGTCGTTCACTACGGTGGTCTTCCTCTGCTTGTCCACCGCTACTATGTCTGGTTGGTCAGTCCCACAGGATCTTAGCTCGGTCATTCTCCACCACCCTTGGGGGCGTCTCCCAGTTTGACCTCCAGGCCCTACACACACGTAGATCTTTCTGTATACTGTGCCGGCCACTAGAGGCATCTTTATAAAGCCTGCATCTGGTGTCTTGCCTGGTGTGATAGACCTCACCCTCTATGGATCGTCAAGTCAAGCAGTGTTTTATTGTCAGCACAACAGTATAGGCTCAAATATAGAGTAGGACGAAGTGTCGTTGTCCTGGAAAATGAAAAAACTCAAATATACATAAATACAACTGTGAAGAAATAAGATAAACTAAGAATAGGTACAACAGTGTTGTATAGAATAAGAAATAAAAAGAATGTGAATGAGAATAAATAAATACAATAATACAGAGTAGAACGGTGCAGTTCAGAATAGTGCAAGGATTGGAAATGAGAGTTATGTAGCCAAGAAGTGTGTTTGGAGGGCAGCATGGTGTTCAGGAGCTGGACTGCTCGGGGGAAAAACGATCACTCGTGATGCTGCAGAGTCGTCTTCTGGATGCAAGAGGAGTAAACAGTTGGTGGGAGGGGCCATGTGGGTCATCCATGATGCTAGTGGCTTTCTGAATGTAGGGTGAGGTGTAAATATCCTGTAGACTGGATAGAGAGCTGCCAATGATGCGCTCAGCGGTC